TGAGGATTTGCAGCGCGTGTGTTGTCAAACTGATGAAGATGTTTTCTTAATTTGCTGGTGTTTTTTCAATTTGCATGCGTTTTCTTAAGTTGCAGCGCGTTGAGCTCTCTCGGCCACCGTACACTGCAATGCAATCTCTATGAGTTCTGGGAGGGCTAGCCCTAACGTGATTTCGTCATCATGCGTAACCTTAACTTGTGCAAGGATTGGTGGCTGGGTTGTATTTAACCCAGCATTTTTTAGAGTGTGCGAACATTTGCCCCCCCTGAGAGAATTGGCAGGAGCCGCCACTGCATTCAAATAAGGAAATATTAAGCCCAGTTTTTATCTGATCATAGCCTAAACGAGTCATGGGTCTGAGTGCATTTTAACGAGAAAAGATGTCGTTAAAACGACATAACATCTCGTTATTACGACATAACTGAGTGGAAAAAAAAATGTGTGTGGCATCAATGCGTCACCGTACTAGACAGATGTTGTGTCACATTATGTTATTTTCTCCGCTTCTTGTGTGCGGTGAGCGGTGTGGTGCCAGTTAACAGATAAGGGTGCCACAAAAATGTGCTCTACACGTGACTATTTCTCCTTCTCCATAACTGAACACAAACTGAAATGCTTAAAGACAGAGAGCACTCACCTCTTGACACCTCACTCACAGCGCTCATTCAAACAGACAGAGAAATGCTGCTTAGAAAAAGAGATGCAGCATAACATCATCACTGTAATAAAGACAACGTCCTTGTCATGTTGTACTCTAGTATATGATCATGTGTTTGTAGTGCACATACTCTTTTTACTTATAAGGAAACACTCCAGCGACATTTGTTTTTCAAGCAAGCTAAGAGTGCACGTTTGTGTATCGGGCATGAAATGCATGTAGAACTAATGTCGGTTTTAAAGGCAGTGTTTTTGCCATCTGCTTGCATGAGTACTGGAATGCATTTGAACTGAAATTGATTAGACAATATAAAAAATGTAAGCTTAATCAATTCAATTATTACAAGCGATTAATCAGTCTTTGATCATTCATTCACATCCCTAGTAAGTGCTCAGCAAAATGTTACTAGTCCCTCTTTCTTTAAAAACATAATCTCTAAAGGAAGAGTATAGCAGCACTTTATGCATTTGCCTCTTTCATTGAGTTGATTTTAATGTTACGAGCTCAAATAAGAGATCATTTCAAAGGGTCAATTGAAAAGTTATATGAAATTACTCTTGCATACAGCCCTGTTTTTGGGTGATGTGGTGGCATCTCAGGGCTGGTAACCGGGAGGTTCCTCATTTGATTCAAGTTCACCATTTAAGTACCTTACTCTAGGGCTCAAAACAATCACCATTGTGCCCTTCAGTAAGGTACTTGACCCCAGGTTGCTCCCTGGTATTGTTTCTGTTGTAGGTCCATGGTCTCGTTCTGTAGTTACTTTATATGAAAGTTGGGGAAATTGACTCCACCCTGTTCATTTCTTTCTTTCAACATGAAACTTTTCACTCAGCCAGATCTTTTTAACACCTTTACCAAATAATTCATGCAAGGGTTAAAAAAAAAAAAAAAAAAAGTTCACTGCGCTGTCAAGTTCCTACAACTCAATCTCCCCAACTTTAGTTAAGCTGTGCTTCTGATTATGGTAAACTTCACTAGGTTCAGACAAAACGGCTTTTATTCTTCTCTGTGAGCCGAAGAAAGATTAATTTCCCACTTGAAAGATTAGTTGAATATCTTGAGGGTAGCGACTCGTGCTGCTGTCTGTCTGTCAAAGCGTTGGCTGAGACGTTAACGTCTGCCTGTTTGCACTATAGGACCTGAGATTCCCTTCAAAATGTGGCATCCACCTACTGATAGGTACTTTCCTTAGCAGGTAATAATTTTGCACTAGTTCTGCAATAAGCTGGGGTTCATTAATGGTCTTTCCTGGATCAGGATGTTTTATTGTTAGCTATCTGACAATCTCTCTGGTGCACAGCACTGATAACCTTCTCTCTGTGGTGAGTCCCTTCTAATCTGTTTCCTTTGGGCCCTCATGCAACTGGTGCCTGGGTGTAAAATCACATTGAGGGCTAGTTAACATTTAGAAGAGGATGCAAGCAGATGCTGATGTTTAAAATGTTGCCATAATGAATTTATGTGCAGGCCAAGGCAACTGCAAATAGTTCAATGAAAGTTTTAAGAAACAGTGTTTCTGAAGTGACTACCCAGCATAAGCCCTTGCTCCATTTTACAATGTCACAGGAACCCCGTGGGGCGAGCCTTGTTTACTGCCTGAAATGCAATCAAAAAGACTGAGGTAAAGCTTGCAATCTTCCCCACTTCCAAAACAATCTCAAACCTCCCTCTGTACCCGTGCTTTGAAACTGGAGACCACTGGAGATCCATGAAAGTTTGGTCTGAGAGTTGATTAGTGAGTTGATACTGTAAGTAGAATTGACCAAAAGTGACAACATTGACTTAACTGACTTATTAATCGATTAAGTCCATGAATTAACTGGCTGTATTAATATTAAGACATTGAAGGTGATTTTGGGGTGGTCAGATTCTTTTTTTTTTAGGTGTTAAGTGGTCCACCACCTGCACAGACACTGAAATGTATGTAATAATGTATTGACAGCATGCAAAACATAAGTATTTTTTGTATTAACAAGTTCAGAGGTGTACAAATGTCTTTGAATCCTTTTGGGTTCATAGAATATTGAATGCATGGAAGTAATAGGTTGATTTTATTGTATTTATTCAATAATATTAATTAGATATGTTCAATGGTATCACATTTATTTGACACCTAATGTGATTTATTAATAGTTTCATTCTTTTCTGTGTGGTGTCTGGTTTCAAAAAATTCCATCACTTTACACAAGCTTGAACTATATGTTAAAACAATAGAAATTCTGTTCATTTAATCATTTCATCTTTATTTTGTTTGCAGAGATAAAAATATATAGAATTTGCTGTTCAAAAAGCATTTCTTATTATTATCAATGGTGAAAATAGTAGTGCTGCTTCATATTTTTGTAGAATCTTGATGCTTTTTTTCAAGATTTGTTGATGAAAAGAAAGTCTGAGCGAACAGCACTTGTTTGAAATAATAAATGCAACGAATTAATAAAGATTTTTAGATTTAGATGCTGTCAGTAGGTCCATATTGTATTTTTCCCTGTATATTCAAATGTATACTTATAAAACTTGTGTTAACACAAGTACCTACGAATACTAATGAGGTCAAGCTGAAGCCTCTCCCTGTGTGTTTAATCCTGGATTATGGTTTTTGGCTCAGTGGTGAGGCAAATGAGTCTAGGATGTGTTCCACCCCTCTTTTCTCCCACTCACCTTCTCCTATACCAGTCCATCAGAGTAGGTCCTTCCCTAGGGGCTCTCTGAGCAAATCTCAAGAATTCGGCACCCTGATTAGAGCGTAACTTGAACTCAAGCTCAAAATGACACAGACGCTCCTACACTTCTCCCTGCTGGCTCGCCACAACCCCCTCACCCACAACACTTAGCATTTGTGCAGGGTTTTTTGGTTTTGTCCACGTCAATGATTCATCCCCTCCTCAGGATGGCTGCTGTTAACACAGCTGAGGTGCATTAGGTCTGTGTTGTTCTTGCTTCTTACCTGGCTCCAGGCTCTGTTTGCGGTCCCTTGTGTTTTCCTTCCACTTCAGTGCAACCGCAGACCCTGCGCAGGAGTCCAAGTGGCACCTCTTGGAGGCTGTAATGTGCTAAATTGCCAGTGATGTTGTTCTTTCTGCAGGTTTGACGTTTGGAATGGCAGTGATTTGACAATGTGCTGTCAGATCCACTATGTATCAGTGTGGCTGATTAATTAGAAGTGACTGAGTTGGAAAGCAGAAAACACCCATCGATATTACCGCTGGTGGTGCTTTCAGACAGACAGGTAATAATAATTATTTTTTTGGTGTGGCAGAAGAGACTGTAGGCTTGTTGCCAGGCCTGCACCAGATGTTACTGCTGTGTCTTGGCTTGAGGTTAAAATTGTAACATCTTAGCTTTTATTTCTCCTTTATCAATCATTTAGAACACCCTGTGATAATAAAGCGTCTTTACGTTTTTGTGGGTCCAGAGTTGTCAACTCAATCCATAAGTTAACTTTAATGGGATTCAGTGACACCTTTTATTGCAGTGAGAGTGAGCAGACTCCTTGCTGATCTCTGAGCAGTCTGGGCTACATAACTGCCTCCCCAGCCAGATCTGCACTGTAACTCTAGAGCTTCATTGTCACGCTCTATATCACCTCACTGACCCCCGGACCAATTATACAGCTGACCCGGGTTTGATGACATAACCTCTCCGGATCGGGGTGCGATCACCTCGTGGGGTACCCTAATGCCTGTCAGGCCATGTCAGCTCACCATGCTAAGCAGATACTTCCCAGAGCTTCTCCCAATGGATGGAGCAGCAATGAGGGCCTGCAGACAGAACATATAGTTCTTTCTTTTTTTTCTGGTGTATAACAGGAATAAAGAGGAGGAATAATACCTTGCCGTTACGTTGCTTTTCACGTGGCCCACTAATACTGTTGAAATGTCAGGCCTGACTACAGATTTTGAGAATTGAAATGGATGGGTGTGCTGAACAAACAGGCCGTGTGTATGGATGCATGTTTTGGATAGAGGTTAGAGCTCTTTATGGGTGTTAAGTCTTGTTCGAAGCAACAGAATAATCAGATCATTCTTCGCGTCCCAACCAGTTGGTGGACATTTGTGAACTGTAGGATTGGATTTCAGTTATTCGATCTGGTCACCACATTTTACATGCACCGTGACGATCTAATGGAAAACAAGTGGCCAAATGGGCGTTTTCTCTTTCGGTGTCAAATATAGAAGCAAAACAGTGTCCCCTAATGAATGTATTGCTATGAATCACAAGGGCAAACAGGAGTTTTGTATTGTATCCGTTGCTTTTATATGTCCTTGCTAAACGATTAAGACCCGAGGGGACTCTAAGGGAACGTTTCAATCATCACAGCTCTGTTTTTAACATACAAACAGCTTCTGGATCCCTTTCTCCCATGCAAAGGTCTGTAGACCTCTAAAGACCTCTGAATGATTAAGTGGAACGTGCGTACAAGTGCATAGGACTTAAGATGGGCAGAAACACGTGTTAGAGTAGGAATGAGTTTCTCGTGAGAGAGAAAAACATTAATAGAAAATTATTTGTGCTCTGTAAGTTTAATGTGTGTGTTTGCCACTTCAGTTTTGAGTCTGGACATGCTTGTTCTCTTGATGCCGCAGGCTCCGTTAACCTGATGTGCTGACGGGGACGACGGACCCAGTTTGACGGCAGAGGAGGGTGAGAAAGCTCTTTTGTGTCCACAACATATTGTGCAGCAGACTACTTTTTCTACACTTTTATATGACCATACACACAAAAATAAAAATACAGCTTTCCACACTCTATTGAAAAGTAGGCTTTGGACAACCAGCTAGACAAGAATCAGTCAATTTAATTGTCACAAGACACTGGAAAACCATTACATGCCAAAAGACTTGTTTTCAGGATTTACTTTTCCAGCAGCATAATGGAATTGCAAAAGTGCAGCCTTGCATGTCCATACAGAGAGGTGTTGGAGGAAAGCCAAGTGATTGATAGGGGTCTCTGCTATAGCAAGCTTTGGATTTTGTCATATTTGTCTTTGGATGTTTGATGAAACAGATAACCATCTCCATTGGTGGGAAGGGGGATTGGGGTCGGTTGTCGTATGTAGCAGTGACAGGCTAGTTTTTCAAGATTCAAGGCTTGAACTGAACTGAAACACTGCTCGACGGCCCTCAGCTCAGCTCTGGTGAGGATGGTGAAGATACATTCATGAAAAACAGTATGGATACAGGCATTACTCTGCACCAACAGACTCTTCAGATGAAGTGTACTGCAACTCAGTCGCCCAAACTTACATCTTCTCTGCGTTCTGACCTACTCCTCCATGAAGCAGAGCTCTCAGGAGCATTCTGAGAAAGTGTTAATGAAATCCCCATCTTTGTCTGAGAGGGTATAAAATAATCATGGCGTGACTGGAATTATTAGTATTCACAGTGCCCTAAGATTCAATACATTTTTAATCGAGGTGAGCTTGGCTGGGTGTTTTACCGATGTAGGATTTTAGGCACTCTCTTATGAAGAGCTGATTTTGCCGCAAGGCGGTGTTTGTGGATATACGCAAAAGCTCTCTTTTTTCATAACTACAGACAAACGCCGAACAGGAAAATGGGGGAGGGACTCAAATGCTAATAACTTGCTGCATTGTCTAATCAAGCATCAGAATTATGAGTATAGCTAACAGTCTCATAAAAGCCTCTCATCTCGGCCTCATAATTTGTGTCTTGCTAAAAGTTATGAGGGTTTGACGATGCCTAAACCAAGGGTTGCTCATTTTTATAGATTATTACATCATAAATCGGTTGAACGCTAAGGTGGTGTGGTCATTCTATGCCAATTTGTCTTGTGAGCGCTATCAGACTTGAAGGAGATTTTAGTGATTCCAATCTAAAACCGATTAGCAATGGGGTTTAGTAACCAGGCTGTGGCCACCTGTGCCAAAGAGGCTCAAACTCAAAAGGCAACTGCTCCCAATGGGGAGAAAACAATAATGGCTTGTAAAAATGTCGTCTGGATATGTAGCTAAAAAGTGATGGATACATAAGCATGAAGCTAAATGGTGTGGATACAAATAATGTGTGTTTCTTAAATAAATGCATGTAATATAGACCATACAGGCTTCTGTCACAGCACCCTGAGAAATTAACTGAAATATAACAAAAATAACAACAAAAGAATGGGAAATAATTTCCAGTATGATGTCAAATAAAGGCATAGAGTCAAGGGGAAAATCATCAGCTCTGTTAGGAAATTTCTTTCTTTTTTTTTTTTTGGTCTAATGTCTTCAAACCATGCTACCATTGCCTTTACATTGGATGTTCAAACAAATGGCAAAATGCGTGCATATGGTTAGATGTTATGCTTCCCCCAAGATAAGAGGTAACATGTTTACTTTTCTTCTCCTGGCAGCACTGTGGAGTAGATTTGCTATTTGGCACTTCAATAAAAAGAGAGATGGTCCGCCGTGTGAAGCAGCTCACCCTGGCCAGTTAACAGTCATGTATCTCTGCTGTAAAGCAGTGTGTGTCATGGGGGAGGAGAAGAGGGCTCAGGACGATGATCTCTCGCTCATGGAAGTGGAGTGTGATTTGGATAATGAGACACTGTGGCTTTATCCTTAAGCTTCAGATGGCTGACAACTCTTAGGCTCATTGGTAGGATGATGTGTATTGACCATTGGACAGCACTATGAGATGTAATCAAGCTGTTTTAAATAGATGTGCCGATGAATTATATATTCATTCAACATTTTTAGAGGTAATTGTGTAATCAGTAATTATAACTGAATCAGAAAACACTGATTGCATTTACATTGCAATCAGCATTCTGGATGCGTGTGTTAACATCTTGGTGTCAAAACTTGATGAGTTAAATTGAATTTATCTCATTAAAACCATTTTTTTGCATTGTCAGGTTTTTAGAATAAACTATTTCTGATAATTGATTTGTTGTAGGCAGATGGTAAAATTGTGCAAGATGAAAAATAGTTGCTGACCTGTCCATAATGGGCCTGAGCATTTAGTTGTTCCTTTACTTTAGTTTCCCTGCCACTTTCTTCTCTCATGAACACCACTTATAAGCCAAGAGTTGCCAAAACGTAGCAATGGGACAAAGCGCTGTGGTCACCTTCACGCTGGAGAGAATGGGACTAGCACACCTCGGAGAAGAAACTGACGCTTTCGGACTATAACTGTTTGGACCAGGCTCCCCACTGCTCACACATCATGCAAAGTGTGGCCATGAAAGGGCTCTAGAAAGCAAATGAGGAAAACCACAGGAGGAGAGAGACAGACAGAGAGAGACAGAATCTGATAGCTCGGGCTCAATACCCCCCACCCCCGTTCCCGGCCCACAATTCTTCGCAGAGCTGAGGGTGAGTGACTTGTCCTGGATTTTTTGTGGACAGAAGAAGAGTTGCTTGAAGAACCAGCAGGTGCTATGGACATCACTCTTCAGGCTGGGCTAGCAAAGGCCCCTTGTTGCAAGGCCCCCCAAGGCAAAGGAAGAGCATAGAAATCAGAACCAAGGGGGAGGGCACTCTAAGCTGTGCCTGTGGACAAAAGGACATGACACATGAATAAGGTACAATGCAGGAACCAACAGTGTTTTTCTGTTGTTTTACTAATTGGCACAGGTAGTGGGTTCTGAACATAACATCTAAAAAAAAAAAAAAGGTTTAGAGAAAGTTTTAAATATCCTAAAGTTTACTCAAAAACATCAAACTAGTTGTGTATTCAGATATCAAAACAACATTGCCTTTCAATGTATTGGAGGAAATAAAAACACTGATATATTTCCACAGAAGAAAGACATGCATAAAAGCTTGGAACGACATGAGGGTGAGTAAATGGTGACAGAAATTTAGTTTTTAGTTTAGCTGAATAACTACAAGATATATTGTTTTAGCAGAATTGGTGAAGGCAGCTGTATAATGTAGTGGGATGAGCTCAGTGAAAAAAATAAATCCAAGATGGCAGACAAGGTGAATGAAATGTTTCATTCAGTATTCAAAGGTATCACAAAAAATAGTTCAGTAATTATTTTACCAAATATTTGTGTGTCCTGCACAAGAATGTTGGTAACTAAACAGTTTCAGTTCCCATTGACTTCTATTGTATTTTTTGTCCATATGATGGACGTCAATGGGAAACAAAACTGTTTGGTTACCAACATTCTTTAAAATATATTATGATACAGTTTTGGAACAACATGAGGGTGAGTAAATGATAGAATTTAAATTTTTGGGTGAACTATCCCTTTAAACTATCACACTTCTAAGTTCAGCAAAATGCTAATGTTAAACTGCTGAAATGAACTGCAGAGTCAAGTCTGTCATTTATGAGGTTTTGCTTTTATAAACTGATGTAATTTATGCATTTAGAGTGCAGCACTAGAATTATGTTCCTACACTTCACTTTGAGCAAGGAATCTATGTAAACCAGTGAGGCCATCTTTTAATGTTTGTTTCATGAATTCACAATGATTTCATATAACTTTAGATGTCAATGAGCTTCATTCTTCCAGTACAACAGTGCCCACTGAACGATAAGAACCATCTTTTTACTTTTTTTCTTACACCTGCATAGTGGTGCGTTTGAGTCATGTACAATGCAGCACCACGGATTCTTATCTGAACCATGTTTTGTTTGTAACTCATGACATGTTTATTTGTTTGTGCTCTGTGACATCGTCAATTGTCAGAATATACCAACAACAGCGAGCTGTGGGCACTTTAAAAGAGGAACTTTGTATCAGGCAGTTGCTTTCTAATCATCCAGTGTGCCCCTTGGTACTGAATGAGGCAGCTTTCCAATTTCTAGCTCTCTGCAGCGCAGTGCCTTTGTGCTAGGAAGTCTTTGAAGAGGAGGTCTCTCAACATGTGCTGTTCCTCTCATATGTTGTGGCATCTGGATCTTGTAACGGGTTGTTTATTCTTATGTTGCTTGTGTTCCATTACCACAACCTTCAGTTCTCATAATCTTCAGCTGAGCTTTTAACCTCCTTTTTCAGTTTACTTCCTAGAGCATTCACAATGAGGAAGCCTTGTCCAACAGGTTGTTTAGTTAGACTGGTTGGTCTTAAGGGATTCATAATATATACAGGCAAGTTAAGCTCAATCAACAGCAATTGTGGCATAATGTTCATTTACCACAAAAATGACTTTTTCCTTCTTTTCTTTAAACAAATGTAAACATTATAGTGAGGAATTTTCAACTGAAGTAAATAGGGCCAATCTGTAAAGGCTAATATACTCAGTGTTTTAAAAGTATAATCAAATGACTTAAACAGTATGTGTTAGAGGGGTCATATGATGCGATTTCAATTTTTCCTTTCTCTTCAATAATGTACAGTATATGGAAAATAATGTGTTCTTTTAACTTTAAACCGCATAAACACATTTCATTACACCAAATACACCAAATAATGTTCTTTTTAGCAACATCATATGACCCCAAAATTTTCTACTAACCATTTGTGTTTAAAGTTATATACAACTTAACAACAGTTTATTGCCAGGACAACATTGTGCCTAGAATCCTAAAATGACCGTAAAAATGACAAGAACAACTTTATAGCTCATATAATACACAAGTTTTAACACAAAAATTAATACAGTTTGTTAGCTTGACATTTTTGTTTTTAAATTAACCAAAAATTGGCCCCATTTACTTCCATTTACTCTATCCTTTTTTAAAAAGAAAACGGGACAAGGCAAAATAATTTTTGTGGTAAACAAACATTTTAATAAATTCTGTTGATTGAGCTTAACTTTGAACTCTGTACATTCCTTTAAGGAAACTGTTTTTTTCTAGAAAATTTTTATTCTCACAAGTGTACACTTATTCACACCTTGGTGTTAACTTGTAAGTTCTCGATTCTACACAAGCCATGATTTCCTTTGTACTCTTGTATAGAACGATGCAGTCAGTCAAGCTTTTAACAAAGACATCCTTCTCGTCTTCAGGCAAGGTGGTGCAGTATAATGACAAAAGAGAGAAAGCCTTTCAAGTGCCTCCACTGTGGCCTTGTTCGGTTGTTCTCTGTCTGTTATCAACCCTTGAGGAGAGTTAATTGCCCCAGTCAGTCTGTGTCCCGTTTTAGCCATAGATGATGAAGTGTGAGGCTATGTTTCTCACACTGCACAAAATGTGAGAAGTTGTACGCTAGCCAGATGCAGGTCAAACACTTTAGTGGGAGTCCCATCTGGGCCATAGGCTGATTTACTGTACTGTGTCATACAGTAATTATCACAACATATACTCTTTAGCGATAAAATGTCTGTCAAGGAAATGAATATAAATGTAAATGTATCACATTGTGGAAATAATGAACTGTGAGTGGATTAGGATAAGAATTTTGGGGAATGGTACCAAAGGCTTGATTGGCACATTAGTCGCCTCAAATGGACTGGTTCAACAGACTGGGCCCAAAGGAATGTGGGTGAATGCGCTAAAAGATGTGAACTTTGAACCCTAGTACGGCATGAAGGGAGCTGAAGAAGGAGCCGAATGAAAAAGAAATCTTCATCTTGTTTGGGGTTGAAGTGCTGTTTGTGGACTCTATATTGTGAGTCACTGAGCCGTTCCATTTAATCGAGCTACACAACTTCCTGCAGCTCCCCTCATTGTGCTGCCAGTATGCTGGGGATCAAAACAAGCATTGACTGCCCAGCTCACTCAAAGGATCTGTGCTTTTTATTGGTCGGGATGGGAGAACATGCATGGTCCTTGCTCTTTTGTCCACCTTTATGGATGTTAAGATAGTGTTTTCCCTTGGATTGTTGAAGCATATGAATAGGAATTGTTTGCCAAGAGGGAAAAAATGTAATTCGCTATAGATTGTAAATCTGTGGTGGATTTGAGGGTTTGGGATTTCTCACTTTTTATTGCCCTCAACTCTCATGATTAACTATGCCATAAAGAGCTGACTTGTCCTTCTTCATAGATTCTGGTCTTATATGAGGTAAATTTATTGTGAGACTCTGCAGACTTGTGATGTGGACTCCTGTAGGGACATTGTCCCCTGTACAGTCATCTTACTCTGCAAACTGTTTAAATCCATTTTAAAAACTGTGTCAGCATTTCAGTGAGAAGACTATAAGTAATAAAATGTAAATGTGCTGATAAGATCTGTCAGATACAGTTCTCTTTTATTTATTGATGTTGTAACTTGAATGTTTCCTTAATAGAGTCCATATTAAAATAAAGGCTTTGGTGCTGCATCACTGGAAATTTCATGGAGACAGTGTTTGTAGGAAGAGAAAACACTTTTATTAGACAAAAAGATTAAAGTGCTTGCCTGAGGAATTGTTTATCTAGACATTAACTTAAATATCCTTTTTATGTGAAAACCAAGCTAAAGCGGTTCAAAGTAAATTCAGGAGAATTATCTTTGGAAAGGGATTTTAATTGCCATTATCAGGATAACAGAATCATGTTGACTTGGATATAATACAGCATTGACAATGTATTATATTCCACTCTGTATGGGTTTTGTAGATCTGCTGGAGGAGATTGGGACCACAGAAGCCAGCAGTCTAAAGTCCGGTAATCTCATAAAGACATGCTGTTTTTCTGTGCCAGTAGTAATCTATAATTCATGGAAGAAGTGAATGAGCAAGCAGGTTTCTGTCAATCACAGTCTCCCTTTCCTCATGTTATTCTCCAGCATTCCCAGCCTATCTCAGTATGCACTCAGCAAAACTTCAGAAATTGAGACAGGTGCTACTTCCCTCAAGGCCTATCCAGAACTGGTCCATTAATAAATGAAAATGTGATTCGTTTATTGTCCCCCCCCCCATATTACTTACTCATATGTGACCCTGGACCACAAAACCAGTCTTAACTCGCTGAGGTATATTTGTAGCAATAGCCAAAAATACATTGTATGGGTCAAAATTATAGATTTTTCTTTTATGGCAAAAATCATTAGGATATTAAGTAAAGATCATGTTCCATGAAGATATTTTGTAAATTAGGGTTAGGGTTAGGGTTAGGTAAAGTTACTGTAAAGTAGGAAGTATATTAAAACTTAATTTTTGATTAGTAATATGCATTGCTAAGAACTTAATTTGGACAACTTTAAAGGCGATTTTCTCAATATTTAGATTTTTTTGCACCCTCAGATTCCAGATTTTCAAATAGTTGTATCTCGGTCAAATATTGTCCTGTCCTAACAAACCACACATCAATGGAAAGTTTATTTATTCAGCTTTCTGAGGATGTATAAATCTAAATTTCGAAAAATTAACCCTTATGACTGGTTTTGTCATAAGGGTTAATTTATAATTAATCCTTATGACTGGGTCACATATTCTGTTGGGCTCTTATTTTTTGCTTTCAGGCTATTGCGTTGGTAATGTCAAACTGACCTTGCTCTAAAATGGCATGGGCCCCTTATGGGAGAGGCGGGGTCGAGGGCGTCTCCTCCTCCAGCCAGAAGGTCTTTGGCTCCGGCCGGCTCGAGCAGGATTCTGCCGCAAAGGAGTCCTCATGCTGCCCACCTCCTCCAGCTCTTTGCTATGCTCGGTGGAGGCCATTGGACCTGCGGACGGAAAGAGGGTATGTGAATTATGAAACATAAAATAACTGAGTCACTTTGGTTAAAGGTGATGAGTGGAACCGAATTGCAAAATAAAAACTATGTTTCCAAACAAAAATATTGTCTCCAAACAACATTTTTCCCCATTGATTGGGGACAGAGTTAGCCCCGCCACCCAAAATCACACCATTGGCTAAGCCCCAGTGTCTTACAGTATAAGTGGATATTGGACAAAGTATTTTAATTAAAAAAAATACACATTTCACCTTTAAGAAACTTAATTAAAATCATTTATTGCAGCAACAACTACCAAAAATCCAAAGAAAGCCCCTCAGCACAGTCACACACACTGTTTACGTAAAAATCTTTGAACTTCTCACATCATGTGAGAAGTGTCTGTCTCAAGAACACTGGGGAGACACTTATCCTGGGCACATATTTTGTCTGTGTGTCTGTGTGCACTACACTGCTCGATTGTGAGTGTGCTCAGATGTTTCCAGTCATCTCTCAATAAGTGTGAGTAGATCCTTTAAGCCCGTCTCATATCCACAGCTTGATCCACATCAGTACGCACTAACCTCTCACCTATTTAGAAAAATCAAACAAAGTCCTCTGGAGAGAGCAAACATTCTGGGAGATTTTGGGGAGACCTTGATCTGTGCAGCATCTGATGATCTCCCATTCAAGTCATGAATTGGCTTTCTGAGGGTGTTTTGTTTGAGTGCATCGTAGGGATTGGATGTCTTTCCATCTGAAAGTTTCCAGTCTTTCTAATGGCAGAAGCTAGAATCAATGAAACCCGTCTTTTCCTACATTATTGAAGGGGATGAATGGGTAAATGTGCTTGGTCAATCATCAGTTATTGTATAGTATGTTTTCCGTTTCAGGCCACTGCTCTCCAATCCTTCATTCCATACTATACACATATAATACTATCCTCTCTCCGCTGACGTGCATAAAGATTATTCATGTGGTTCTTCTAAATGCATCTCCCTTTTATGCATACGTCTTTCTGTCTTAACCTTTTTATCTGTCTTTAACTCCAATGCACGCAAAAAACGCTGCCAGAAATGTCTTAAAAAAGGAATCTTTCAGTGAGAGCTCAGCAAATGCCTATCCTACAGAGTAAACAGAGAATCCCATTAACCTTTTCCCAGCAAGAACTTGAATGAGATTGGGTCAAGACATTCCTAACATCTCCCTGGGGAGTGACAGACAACCTATATTAAGAAGACTACAGGGAGCAGCTTTTTTTGAAAATTTCATAACACATGCAATTGTTGTGAATTAAACCAACAGTTACTGTGAGAATGAGCTTGGTATTAAACCTTCTAGATATCTGGTTTAGGTAACGCTTTAGATTACAACCCGCAAAGAACTATGTAAGTATACTGAATTTACGGTGTACGTTTCTGTAATTATAGTGTACCTATAAAGAACATACGTGTAGGTATAAGGGAACAATGTGTTACGTTTGGGTAATAAGGGGGTAACAACCAGATATGCAACCTGCAAAGAACTGCGTAAGTAAACTGAAGTTACAGTGTAACTTTTTTGTAATTATAGTGTACCTATTCAGTACCTCCGTGTAGGTATAAGGGAATAATATGCGAAGTTTGGGGAATAAAGGGGTAACAACCTGTAAAATTACAAATCATTTATACTGTAAGTATTTTGAAACTAAGAGGTGCTTATTCTAATATTACGTGTTATGTATGGCCTAAACAACAATCTTATGTACACATTCTATTATAAAAGGATGGACATGATGGAGATTACTGAACAACAAAACTGGACATCTAGTGAAATGAGTTAATGAGTTTCTGCTATGATTTATAATTCACAAGTCTACTTACCTTATGAAAGCTTATTCGTCGATTTCAGCAACTTCACACCAGCAAATTCTCAACACCACTATCACCAAATAACTTTGCATGATATACCAACAAGGTTCAATGCAGCTTAAAACAAATTTACCTCTTTCCAGCTGTTCGCAGAAAAAATACATGATACAACATTTGTATTTCAGTGGATGTATACTGTGGTGTTTTTATAGCAAAAAATAAGTTTAATTTGGCCATCGAACAATTAAATTAAAACTAGTGCAATATTTTTCTCTGTAATTACTGTGCAAATATACACTTGTTCTGTGTTTA